GCATTGGAGCGTGTGCATGTGCACGGATGGGTGCAACAGGGATCGTGGAAATGCAGAAGCACTGAGGGCGCCATTTTGAACCTGCCAAGTGTCACCTAAGTGCCCGCTGGCAAAGATTAGGGTTCTCGCCCACTTTGCGGGCACATTGAGCAACTTTTGCCTATAGCGAAATTTCAAGACGAATTTGGAATGTCCAACTTCAGGCGTTTGAATGGAAGTTTACAAAGTTTCTCACAAGGCACCCACTTTCAAGGGGGATTCGCCTACTCTTCTGTTCTGCTTCTTTCTGTTTCTAAGGACTGGAAAGTCTCCGTGAGCTGCATTCTACTGGTGCCCCACAAGCAGAACAGGGAGAGGCACTTTTCAGTCATTCCCCATCTCCCTACAGCATCCCACACTCCTATTTGCTCCAGTGTGTTGGAAGACCCCTTGGAACCAAGTGGAAGCTGTCGGGGGTTAGCAGAGATACTTAAAATCCCATCCCTCCCCATTCTGCTATGGAGCGATCTCATTATTATTATTCAAAAGCTATGGAACAAACCTCATGGTTGAGTGAATGCCCGCACCCTAACACTCTGCAATACCACAAGGTCCACATTCTCACACTGAGTGGAAGTCCAGCCCTGTAACTCAGGCACTACACATACCCCCAAAAGCTATCAGAGTGCAACCCCCAGCACCCTTCAGCCCTGGTTATGGCGGCTGGGACTGATCAAAGTCACAGATGCACATCTGGGCAGTCACAAATTCCCCACTCCTGCTTAAACTACCATACCAGAAGAACAACTGGAGGTACGCCCTGAAAAAAATATTATTTGGAAAGTACTTCTAAATGTCTATAGGGAAGAAATCAGAGTGGACTTAGTCCATTCTTACAGAGTGACCAGGTCATTAACACCACTCTTACTATCCTAGAAATCTCTTGTACATTTGATTTAAAATATGTATATCAAAAGCAATGCTTAGTGCAGTAGTAATTCATGTCAGTACCTGGAACATGAGAAATTTAATGTGGGACACAAGGCATGAATGCAGAAATTCTCCATTAGGAAAGGTAGGAGATTGTCAACCCCAGATCTGTTGTTCTCTTCAGGTACACAGGCAAAAGGTTTTAGCTGAAGCTGAATGTGTTAGTTAATAGATTGTAGCCTTTGGGAAGTCCATGGAGAAAGAAGGAAAATAATCAGTGTAGCTAGAAGAAATCAGAACAGCAAGAGCAAAACTGGAATAAACTATCATAACCAGTACATTCTGTCCCTGGCAGTTCAAGGGAAGAACCAACATTAAAATCACATAACACACCTCTACTTTATAATTTTTATCTTACCAATAAAAATAAGTAAGGTCACCTATATTGAAAATACTTCGCAATATATTCTGACCCAGACCATTTTCCACAGTCCAGTGGCTCATGTTTTCAGTGCAAACAATAGACCCCCGTGACAGACAGAGCGCGGCTAGGACAAGACAAGTAACTGGCAATTATTGTGTTGACGCTCTGCGACTTTGATCTCCTGGTCATGACCTCTGTGTTCTGGGGATCTTCAAAGCAGAGGCTGCGGATGAGGTGACGTGGTATTTATTAAGCAGCTTTGCTAGTCATGGAACTCTCTCCCAATATTGGAGTTTCTTCCCCCTAGGCATCCCTCCCCACAGTCTGCTTGGTTAGGAAGAAAGTTTAAAAACAGTGAAAGCACGCAGTGATTCCTATGTGATCGCACTTCCCAAGCCACTTTTTTGCATATCACATGTCTGAGCTGGATGTCATTTGTCGCTAGTTTTTATTTTGTAAGTATCTTTCTGAAAGCTTTCAGTTCTGTACCGCTGACCTTTTATTTCATTTTTGTTAACAAATAATAATTAGCTATTCATAGTAACAGTAAAGCTATTATGCATATTACTAATCACACACAAAATATATTAATTAAACGGGATACCTGCAAATTTCACAACATCCTAAAAACTGATACTGTTAGCTTGTTACCTTCTCAAATGCACATTAAATTGCTAACAGATATAACCTATTTTCCTCCTTCTCATTTAAAATGTTTGTCTTGGAATGTAAGCCACTGATATAAATTAATTGAAAATTGCCTGAAGTGCAGTTTCAAGACAGGCCGCATATTAATGGACTATATAAATACATGCATATACAAGTCCATTTTTTTAACTAAAGGTGCGATCCTATGCAAATTTAGACAGAAAAATTCCTACAACTTGGAAGCCATTTTCCTGTCTAAACTTGCATAGGACTGTGTGCTGGGCTTCATTAAAAAATGATGATGATTTAGAAATGCTGAAAACATCGTTGGTGGCTTAAACCCCACCCCCCACATAACTAAAATGCTAATCAGTACTTATTGTCTATGCATGTAAATACATACGTGTCTATGAGAGTGTGTGCATGCATTCAGGGCGTATTTACTGTTTTCCTGAGAAAACTGTTAGTTAGCAGAGACACATTTTAGCATCCCTTCTTCCCACCTTGTGACATGACACTTGTAGGTTATGCAAGAGCTTCCACCAGTTCTCCTAAACCAGGTGTTCTCCACCTGGACGCAACCACGAAACCCATCAGAGGGGCTTGGCAGTTGCAGGATATACTTTATGGAATGCGTGCATTTGGTAATCTGCAAAAAGGAAGTATAACCAGTGCTAATCCTGTTGGGAGGGGGGCGGGGAGGAAAGAGTATTCTCCAACATTTGGCTAGACATGCACATGGTGGGCCTGTCGTGAGCGGAGCCGGCTGGTGCTGGGGTTCAGACTAGATGGCCAGGGAGCCCCTCCTGACTCGTTGTGTTTCTATGTATGCTCTAAATCAGAATTAAATTGATTTTGAAACCTGTTTTAATTAAGAACAATACTAAAGATGAATGCAGTCATCCAATACTTAACATGATGGTTTGCTATAAGTGTGACCTTGACCTTCTTTAAAAAAAAACACCATTTTGCATGTAAATACAACAACAGACATGATCGTTTTGATGTATAGCTGCGTGACATATTATAAATATTACATCACACAACCGCAGAGAATGTCACTCAACAAGACTTTTTTTTCCTAGACAGCATTAAATGAACCATGGATTCTTGCCTCTGAATAGTTCCTTTAAGGAACTACTTTTGCTTAAATGATTAATAGGAGGCATATTGTCAGAAAAATGTACTTAAAGTGAAAAACAGTAAACTATAGAGATATCATTCATTTTTAAGCAACTCTGTGGTGAAAACATCTCATAAATTTACATGGCGATACCGCTGTTAGACTGTTTATAAGCAGGGCAGCTAAAATGTTCTCTTCAGTTTAGGGTAGGGTGACAGAAAAATATTTTGTTCAATCCAGGCCACTTAGCAGAAGCCAAGATGATGCATTCGTGCGCAATTCAGAATCTGAGCTTGTTACAGTTTTTGTTTTATTAAAACATCTCACAACTAAAGGAAGTTTGACATTTGTTTTCGGAATGTCTGAACACGGAATGGACTCTGAGAGACCAGGGTGTGAGTCTGTCAGCTTGCCATTATTAGCACCATCATCCAAACAACAAGAAACAAATTCCACAGCTACCAATCCATGTCTCTTCTTCACAAGCTTCCTCTCGGGATTTTAATACATTATCTTCTAAAAGCATCAAGGTACAGGTCAGAATGCCTCATGTCTGTGAAAGGTGCAGTCAAGGCTTTCCTAAGCATCATCTCACAATGCACGTATGATATGCCAGAAGTAATATTTTGTTCTCACTCACAGGTAGGAAGGTAAGTACACACTTGGCTGAACTAGCTTGAGAGCAACAGAATTCATTACAGTCATGCAGAAAACACTCAGCACCAACCCTCTGAAATTGGCCATCATATCCAGAAGAGCGGACTCTTTCACACACATGCCTCACTGTAGCAGCATAGCTTGTACGATGCCTGAACCACAGCATCATGTGCACACTCATGGAAAATGCACTTTTGCATTCAATTGCTCCCTTCCCCAGAGTTGAAGACCATTTTGCTTCGTCCTGATGCCTGTTGTGTGTTTCCTCTCCAATGACAACCATTTGTGCGTGACCGGGTGAGGAAATAACACAATGCTGGGACTAGTTTAACATGGTCCCCTTTGGTGTTTTGGACTTCAATGCCTATCAATCCCAGCCACCATGCTTAAGGTCAGGAAGGCTGCGGGATACAGTCTAAGACATCTAGAGTGCCCATTTGGGGAATAGTGACCTAGATGTGAAAAGAGGGCAGTTACAGTCTTGGTTACTAATCAACCTGCTCCACATGTGATCACTTTTGAAAATGGAGGGGAATGCTGGTTGAGCTTGTGCTTCCAGGGGAATAGCATGGAGTCACCGAGTGTATAAATGGGGTTTATTTAGGCAGCTTCTGTGATTTGCACAATCCAGCTGGCTCATGAAAGGTTGGGTCTGTCTGCCTAGGCTCTGCCCATGTAACTGAATCAGTTTCAACACACAGTCTGAAGAGAGCTTCTCTGTCGATATGCCCTGTGGCTAATATTTGGCTAACTCTGGCATCCTTAACAGGTTAACATGTCTCAGTGGGTTGGCCTTCTTGTCAGAGCCTCCCTCAGAAGGTCTAACATGAGAGAAGGGTCACAATCAAGTGAGGGACAGGCTATTTTCTGCTTGGCTTGAGACCTTTCCCTAGTTGCGTGGCTCTCCTATGGCCACCTGGACCCACAATCAAAGTCTTCTTCTCAAACTTCACCAAGCTCCAGCAAGTTCCACTGTAGGCTCCCCTGCAATTTACCCCTTGGCTCCCACACTTTGAGATTCAAGGAAACAGGCAACCTTTCCTCATAAAAGCACCTCTGTAGTGAGTGGAGTGGGGGAGCACTTGTGTACCTTCTTCACCCACCTCTGAAATCCCTTTAATCTGGCCCGTCTCCTGGGTTGTAACATGCAGTAGGTTATAAGTTCCTATAAAACACTTGTTTGCTGTTTTATCTCAACAGCCATTTAAGTCTGACTGAATGACAGCCCAAGATACGAACCTGTACCGTTGGTAGTCGCCTTCATCCTTGTCTTTGCAGACCAGTTCATTTGGGCACGCCGTGTTCCCCAGCAAACTGAGGTACTCCAGGGACGGTACAGCCTCAGCCAAGTGGTCCAGCAAACTCTCCAATTCTGTTATGTTTTGCCCAAGGTTATGGGTTAAGGAGTCAATGACATTAAACCAAAGGCTTTCAAAGAACTGCAACTAAAACAGCTGCCTCCGCACTTCCATATCACACATTCTATAGATCATGTGGAATTGTGGGAAATGTAACATTAATTGCTCCCAGGGTAAAGGGGATGAGATCCAAGCCAGTTTCTTGATAGAATCTTGTCTAGAATTCCCCCCTCATTCTTTTCTCATCCTCCTCTCCTTTCCTAGTCGAATTTCTGCAAAGCATTAAAAACTTTGACAAAATGATGGATGTTGTATGGGGAAATAGTTAGCAATTGCTAAAGCCATGAAACTTTTCCAACATAGCAACAAGCGGTTACTTTCGCAGTACATCCATCACTAAATATATTACAGCCGGTTGGAAAAATGAATTTTAAGGTGTATTAAAAAAACAGCTCATGAGTACTGCAGTACGTAGAAATGCTGTTTGTGATATGACAGCATTTTGTTAATTATGACACACAGGCATAAGTACTTCACCAAATGAGTGACTCAGGAACTGTGGTACTGCAGTGCTCTGGCATAGAAAGTTCAGATGACGCCAGAGTGGGGCTCCTTTCAAAGGAAGTAAGGCCACCAGGAGGAGGACCTTTTCGGTTGTGGCACCCTGGTTTTGGACTGAGCTCTCCCAAGAGGTGTATTTGGTGCCCACCTTGCATTCTTTGTGGTGCTAGGTGAAGGCCTTTCTACTTTCCTGGCATTTTAACAATCTAACTTTGCCTTTACAAATCTGTTATTTATTTATTTATTTATTTCACTGCCAGGCTAGAGTACCTGCCTGAACAGGCCTTTCCTGCAAGACATTCTTTCTTGAAGAAAGCATTTTTCAGAAGTTCAAATACCCGGAATGAATCTCTGAGCATGCACAAAGCAGTTTGTTAAACCCAATCTAGTATTCACCTCCAAGAACTTTCCTTACGAACATGCCTGTGCTTCATCCCATCAGGAGTAACCTCCTGAAAACAAGCAGGCCTCCTCTCCGCACGGCAATCCTCTCACCAGGCCACCATCCTCTGCCAACCTTGCATCATGGGTTCAAGAGCCACACTGGCCTCGTTGGACTCCGAGAAAGTCCCCTGTTGCAAACCCCCTCCCACTAGGGGATACAAAAATATACACAATATTGTTTTTCACTTCCCATAGAAAATGGACAAATATATATTTGAGACTAAGCATGATGAGTAACTTATACTTTAAAAATCATTTGGGGAGGGTGCATATGATGTGCGGTTTTCCAGTGGTCCCTGACACTCCAGTGGGGTTAGAATGGACCTCCAATGCTATAAAAGTTAAAAAACACACACATTTTGCACTAAATTAAGTAAGGGGGCCCTTAAAACACTGCATAGCAATACACACCGTGTCCTTTTTACAGAACACGGTGGAACATAGTGTTGTGGAAGACTGACAGAAGTTTCTTCAGAGCCATCAGGTACATTTGCCCCTCAGGGTTTGACAGAGGATTAAAAGAAACAGGCAAACAGACAATCTAGGTCTTTGACACTTTCTGCTCAACTCCCTGTATATCCTGCTTTGCATCTAGATTTTTGATAAAAGGGGAGGGTGGGGGACAGGCAAAATTTAAATGAAACTGCAGAAAACTCTTAGGAACATTTTTTCCCTGCAACTGTGAAATCAAACCTGCAGGGATTACGTTGGTTTATAACTCATTTCACGTCTTCAAAACAACACAAATATTTTATTAGCATCATTATACGCAGTCGCTCAACAATCTCTGACAGAGTATTATTAGAAATCCCAGGAAAGCCGGCATAATTAGCCGCATGGCAGAGATACTGGGTTGCAGTATGGAGGTCTTCAAAAGCTTCAGTAGCAAGAACTGGGCAAACGTGACACAGCTCCCCAAAGGGTCAGGCGCTGAGTGAAACGCAAGAAGGTTCCCTGCCGGAAGCCTGGAGCAGCCATGGCCCAACCGAACAGCAATTGGCGGGACAGACCATGAGCCTGCCCTGGTGCAAGGCTGCTGGACATTCCCTCCTGGAAAGGCGCTTGCCCTGGGCAATCAAGTGAGTCAAGACTGGGGCGAGCTTTGAACTGGGCACGTCCCCCCTCATGCTGTTACCCAAAATGCTACAAGCTACCGCCTTTGTGAAAGGAGAGTCTCTGATCCAAAAACCATTGACAGCGCTCTATCAAATAATTATCCCAATTTACATTTGTTCTTGTTAGTCAGGAAGTCATGCCCGACCCATCGCAACCCCATGGACAACATTCCTCCAGGCCTTCCTGTCTTCCACCATCCCCCGGAGTCCACTCCAGCTCACGCCGACTGCTTCAGTGACTCCATCCAGCCACCTCATCCTCTACCGTCCCCTCCTTCTTTTGCCATCAATTGTTCCCAGCATTAGGCTTTTCTCCAGTGAGTCCTTCCTTCTCATTAGGTGGCCAAAGTATTTGAGTTCCATCTTCAGGATCTGGCCTTCTAAAGAGCAGTCAGGGTTGATCTCCTCCAGGACTGACCGGTTTGATCACCGTGCAGTCCAAGGGACTCTCAGGAGTTTCCTCCAGCACCACAATTCAAAGACCTCAATCCTTCAGCACTCAGCCTTCCTTATGGTCCAGCTTTCACAGCCATACATTGCAACTGGGAAAACCATAGCCTTGACCATACACACTTTTGTTAGCAGGGTGATGTCTCTGCTTTTTAGTATGCTGTCTAGATTTGCCATAGCTTTTGTCCCCAGGAGCAAGCATCTTCTAATTTCTTGGCTGCAGTCCCCGTCTGCAGTGATCTTGGAGCCCAGGAAAATAAAATCTGTCACTACCTCCATTTCTTCCCCATCTATTTGCCTGGAAGTGATAGGACCGGATGCCATGATCTGTTTTCTTAAAGTTGAGTTTCAAGTCAACTTTTGCACTCTCCTCCTTCACCTGCATCAAGAGACTCTTTAGTTCCTCTTCACTTTCTGCCATTAGAGTGGTATCATCTGCATATCTGAGGTTGTTGATATCTCTCCCAGCAATCTTAATTCCAATTGGTGATTCATCTAGCCCCGCCTTTCTCATGATGTGCTCTGCATATAAGTTAAATAGACAGGGCGCCAGTATACAGCCTTGCTGAACTCCTTTCTCCGTTTTGAACCAATCAGTGGTTCCGTGTCCAGTTCTCACTGTTGCTTCTTGACCCGCATATAGGTTTCTCACAAGACAAATAAAATGGTCTGGTACTCTCATCTCTTTAAGAACTTGCCACAATTTGTTGTGATCCACACAATCAAAGGCTTCAGCATAGTCAATGAAGCAGAAGTAGATGTTTTTCTGGAACTCCCTAGCTTTCTCCATGATCCAGCGTATGTTGGCAATTTGATCTCTAGTTCCTCTGCCTCTTCGAAATCCTGCCTGTACTTCTGGTAGTTCTCGGTCCACATATTGCTGGAGCCTAGCTGGTAGGATTTTGAGCATCAGTTTGCTAGCATGTGAAATGAGTGCAATGGTGTAGTAGTTTGAACATTCCTTGGCATTGCCCTTCTTTAGGATCGGAATGTAAACTGACCTTTTCCAATCCTGTGGCCACTGTTGAGTTTACCAAGTTTGCTGGCATATTGAGTGCAACACTCTTACTGCATTGTCTTTTAAGATTTTGAATAGCTCAGCTGGAATACTGTCACCTCCACTAGCTCTGTTGTTGCTCAGACTTCCTAAGGCCCATTTGACTTCACATTCCAGGATGTCTGGCTCGAGGTCAGTGACCACCCCATCGTGCTTCTCAGGGATGTTAATTTATATACAATTGTGCAAATAGAAGGACAACTCATTTTTTCCAGTTACTGGTTACTGGCTATTCCTAGAGTTGTGTACCACAGTTATTATGTGGTTATCTTAAATGCTCAAGACTTTTACATTGTTTGTTCCTGACTTTGATTTATGTTTCCCTGTTATCTTTCTTATCTACTGCGGATGAAATATACCCCATTTCTTCACCTCAATAACTGAAGGGCAGGATCATCACCACAGAAGGGAAGCAGACCTTTTGCCCTGCAAAGCCTTCCCTTCACCGTGTGTCTTCCAATTTACGTCTTACTTGCTGAAGCAAATGTGCAAAGCTGTGGAATGCAAGACCCACATGGTAGGGCTGTTGCTGTTATCATTATTTTTGCAAAAATGAAGCAGAACTGCACTTGATGCAGCAGGCAGGAGGGGTACTGACTGTTCCCTTTTCACTTCTGTTCAGCCAGAAGAGGATCCAAATGTGGCCAGAATGGTGGTGGGTCAGAAGAGGTGCCTATTCCTTTCCTGGCAGTCCTTTTTTGAAAAAAATTGCCCCTTCCGAGTGGCTTTCTCGCATATAGAGGAGAAAAATCCTTGGCCCACATGAAGAAGGCGGTCTTTGGCCAAGAAACTCTGCGGGAGAGGGTCCAGCTCCCCTCCACTCTGCAGCTCATTTGTGGAATGTGTATCCCCCTGACTTGAATTAAAAAACACTCCATTTGCCTCCTGTATCCTACCTAATTTTGCCCAATTTTTATCTTCTTGTGATACAACTTTATTGGCAAGCTTTTGGGCTCAAGTATGAACACTCCAGCACATGAATCCAAAAATAAATGCATGCAATGCTCAGTCACAGCCTCATAACGAAGGAGGAACCATTTCTGCAGAAGAGCAGCTCTGCTAAGGACTACTAAAACACATTTAAACAGTGTCCACTCGCACAGTAAACCTTTCATACAACCTCCTCTCCCCTCCAGATGACACTGTGATAGAACTTGGAAGAGCTGTGGATACAGTCTGCCCAGGACATGTTATTGCCCAGGTCAAGCTGCACAGTGCCTGGATCAGGTCCAGAGGCAGAAAACCCATAAGCACTTCTTCCCACACCCCAGTTGCAAAAATGCATGAATGGCCAGCATTCTGTGATGCCTGAGGCAAGGCAACCACACAGCTTGGCTAGGAAGAGACTCCAAAGCCAGGCAGTTGTCCCCATCGTGGGTGAAGGGAAGCAGCAGGCAAGCAGCTTGGCCGGAGCAGTGACCGCTTCTTGCTTTTGGATCCCAGCAGCTGTCAAAGCAGGAACCGCAAAAGTCAGCTGTCAAACTGGAGAATTTTGCTCAGGGTGGTGGGAGAGGAATGGACAAAGGCCAAGAGGTTTTGGCAGGCCAGAGCAGGCTTGCAATCAAGGCATGTGGGGCTTGCTGATGTGGAAATGAAATCCGCTGTCAGGTGGGGTGTGTGGAGCAAGCAGGACAAGCAGGGCCCCAGGTTGGCCTGCAGTCCCGTGTCTGTTTAACAGCTGATCACTGCCATGATTGCCTCTTCCTGTTCTGGGGCACTGCTTGTGTCTCCCTCTCCCACACGAGTCCTGGCTCAGGAATTGAAACGGAAGCCTCAGGGGTATACACACAGCGGCAACCCAAGGACCTGCACTCAGAAAAGAGCCCGTGGTTTGTCGTGTGTTGTGAACTGGGGGTTGTTTGTGCTTAACAAAGTGTGGCTTGTGTATTCCTGAGAGAGAAGATAGCCCCCCAATTCAGAGGAGGGATTGCCCCACAGTGGAATGGAGAGGGGAAGTCAATAACTTGGGCCCTGGAACTACAGCCCTCCCAAAAGACCTTTTTATTTAAACTTATTTTAATTGTTAATTTATTGGTATTTATAGGATTTTAAATCTTTTAAGCTGAGATGCACCGGGTTTTAATATTTTTGTTGTGTAATTGATATATTTGTATATTTTGTTTTTGTTGTGAGCCGCCCCAAGGCTTTGTTGCGATGGGGGTGGCATAAAAATGTTTTAAATAAATAAATAAATAAATAAATAAATAAAATATGCTCTAACAGCTGCAGAAGCATGTACTGGATGTCTTTCCTAGTGGCTAGAGAGGTTGCCTCAAACACAAATAAACATTTTAATTAATTAAAATATTTTTAAAGACAAAATCACCATCTGGTGTAGATTCCTAGTGCATATAAGCTGAATATCAGGTGAATGGGTGTCATGGCTTTTGGGCTGACAGAGGGACAGACAGGCAGACAGACTGACAGATGCGCAGACAGAGAGACAGACAGACATTCCCTTCAGTTATTATAGATTATCTTTAAACCACATTTAAGGGTAGAATCCTTCCAAGGTGGTGTACAAGATATAAAAGTTAGTATTATAATTCACTTGTCAAGTCTTTGCCAATGGAAGGTCTAATAAGTCTGTGCCGATGATAAGTTGGTGTGTAAAAACATGCTGCTGGCAGTTCTGCATGGCCTGGAGTCGACTTGCAGCAGGACCTTCCAAGCACCGGCCCCTGTCTATGGAACTCCCTGCCTGTGGATGTCAGGAAAGTTCTGACACTTGTATATTTTTGGTGCTAGCTGAAAGCTGGACTTCCTGGGTTGACAAACCATGGTTTCACTGCTATAATGGATTTTAAATATGTTAATTCTCTATCTGATGCATCTTTCATGCTTCCTGGTTTGGAATCTTGTAAGATGCAGGGAGCTGTATCATGCTTGCAAATAAATATGAGGCTTTGCTTTGGATCGTGTCAGTTTCCTGCACGCCAGGCTTAGCATGCATGGCTACCTTGCACCTTGTGCAGGGCAGAGTCTCAGCATCTCTGACCACTGTTGCCCTGGCCGAGGAGTAAGAAGCAAGCACCGCAGAGATGCTGAACATTCGAAAGGAGCCCAGCGCCAGGAATAAGAACCACTTCCCTGCATTATTCAGGCCGTCGCTGCTGATCCAAAAGTCAGCCAAATCCGGCATTTGGCAGGGGTGTTCCTCTGAAGCCGCCTCCTGTGCTTGCCCCTTCCCACCAGGCATCTGTACCGGAAAGGCATCCGGCCTTTCAAGGCAGCCTTTCATCCCATTTCACTGCATGTGCTGCTCCACTAGAGGTCAGCCTGCCACAGAACCCACGCCGGCTGGGTTGCCGGCAAAACCGGCTGCGCTTCCCACCTCTCCGCCTATTAACAAAGATTCCTCCGGAGCCATAAACTTAGGTCTCACACTAAAAAACAGAGCAATGGGAAGATATAGTGTGGCATGCCGTTTATGAATGACCCATAATAAATGACTGCAAAGTCTTCTGGCTGACAAGCGAAGGAGAGAGAATGGCGTGTCTGCATGCAGACTATATTTTGCATACTTTAATTTGGCTGACAGATAAGGATTACCGGACATTTGGCAGGGTGTCTCCCAGCTCCCTCCCTCCGCCTCCCCTTTGCAAGGATATCTGGTTCTTGTTGAGCATCAGGGTATGGAGGTGTGGTAACCCGGGTAACCGGAGGTCGTTTCCGAGGAGATTGTTGTCCAAGATGAGCTCTTCCAAGCCGCTAAATGTCTCCAGTCCTTCCAGTGACCTGCAACGACAAAGACAACAGGAAAAATGATACTCCAGTAAATCAGGGAAGCCATTATGAGCTGAAATAAATATTTTAACCTTCCCTTTCAAGGAGCGGGGAGAGTTTTGGTTTAGTCCTGTCAGGAGACTGAATGACAAGAATTAGTGGCGAGGGGAGTGCTGGTACAGCAACACATCCTTCACATGGTGGCAGAATGAAAGATGGGGGTCACTTAGTGAGTAGCCAGGATCCTAAACAAAAGGCTTCAGATATGAGGCCTGCAGGATGAATTTGTCAATGTCTTGTGCCTTCAGGCACCCTGCCTCGCCTGACCCTAACCTCCATTCCCAAGATAAATAACTCTGTCACAGTTCACCTTCATTCCCTGGACACAAATTTAAGTTGTCATCCATCATTTCTGCCATGAAATATCATACCCCACTAACAATAATAAATACAACTTCAGGAATTGTTCTCAGCAGCTACCCTATATATAAAACTGTAGGAAAAAATAGGATAGGAAGTTTTTCTTTCTCCTCTTGTGATTTTTATTTTATTAACCACTGAATTTTCTCTGGCTTGAGACTTTTCTGTCTGTCTGCTTTTTGAAGCACAATTGCTGGGAAGGTATGCAAAATTACTCCAGATCCAGAAACATCAAAAATATTTTTATAAATGACTCCCCCCCTACCCCCACCCTGGGGGGAAAAAGCGAAAAAGCAAAACCGAGCCCGATTTCAAAGTAACAAGCAAAATATTTTCGGCATGGAAGCACAGTTCGTGAGTTGTCAACACAGAGAGATTTGTAGAAATTTGGCAGCCAATTAAGAAAGCGCGTAGGGAGGAATTAAAAGGCTGGCTTCGTCACTTCGGAGGGGTTATTGTTTCAGTGTTAACTCTTAATTTCATAGCTTTGCAAGTTCTTACGGCACTGCATGTGGGAAGCGTCACACTAATCAAGCGGGGTCGGCACGGAACAAGGAGTGCGCAGCAGCGATGCATTCGCAGCGCATTCACCTACCAGGCACCTAGAGATACGCTGAGGTTGCACGACCTGACAGCTGAGTTAGTCTGCCTACCAGTAGGAAGGATGCACTTTATCTCTTCCTCGCTGTTTTGTAAAATGTGATGAATAAGGGAGATGCGAGTCTCCACTATTTATTCATTGTCCAATGACATTTATACTAGAGGGAATTACTCCCTCCATATTTAACACCCTTCATCAAGGTCTACCTAGGAAATGCTTTACCAGGGTTTAGGACTGGCCCACTTTGGGAAGAACAAATGACTCTTGGTCCGTGTTGTGCAACATGCAAAAGTGGTAGGGACGGGTCAGAGGAAACTTACTCCAGCTCTGTGGGCGACAAAACCTGGAACCCCTCACTGGGGAGAGGGAGATGGAAACTCTTCTGTGGGAAATCAAACATGTGACCTTCAAGCTTAAGGTTTAAGGACGCGACTGAGTGAGCTATAAATAACCGGCAGAGCCCAGTGCCTCTCCATAGAGACTTAACTCTGAGGGCTCCAAATCACAGTGCAGCGGTGGCTGAGTTTGAATGGATTACAAAGGTTATTAAAAGGACCATTTTTCTGATGCGGAGATTAAGGTATGGGCAACAAGAGCATGTGAATTTGCCTCAAGGAAGCATCTGCAGCAGGGACACTGGATGCAAAGCCTTTTGTCTCAGTCAGATTCCTCTAGTATTCTTTTCCCAAAATTCATAACCCTCTTAACACCCCCTACAAAGGCCCTCTAAGAATGAACATCTCCTAGTGCCCTATGTCCCCATATTGCAGATGGCAGGGTGAAGCGCTAACTTCTTGGCTGTGGTACAATTTCAACATGGAACTTCCCATGCCAACATGCTGAAGTCACCTCAAATACCTGGCAAATCGGGCCAAGTCCTGCCCCCTCTAGCATTCACATCCATTCTTGGATTCCCCGGATTCTTTTTCCCACAAGTTCCTACTTTCTCCATTGCTCATACGCCTGTCTCATAACTTCATGAATTGCACAAACTCCAATAGCCACAGAAAAATGGCACAACACAGTGATGCAGCCAGAAATATGGGAGAATCTGCATTGCAGACAGATGCATACTTATTACAGATTTAGGATTGCCTTAAGAATATGCCAACATTGCTGGTCCAAGTGATTTTGCTACATGATACAGAACAGCAAATTCTGCCCCAGGCAAGGTATACGATACCAGTGGCAAGTCACTACTTCTGATAGAGCTCAACAGGAAGGAGGTTCTGCCAACTCAATAACCCACATTCAATGACTATATATGGCCTGTTGTTGAAATGAGAGGTATCGTGCTGTCTGAACTCCACTGCGATAACACACTATGGCAAAGAACCCACAGTTCATAGCCCAACGACAAACCATGGATTCTCTTCATGGGTTATGCACAGTTAATGCTCCATGCTTGTTAGCTGGGTTCAAGTGAAGTCATAACCTGTATTTCAACAATAATCCACAATTCTTTGACAACCCACAGTCAAGTCATACTCAACCCTTGAGCATGGGCTAGCGTGTCATCCGAACCGAGTGCCTCCCAGAGCATCTGCTCTGTTAGCTTCCTGAATAGGCCTTTCTTGCTTTTTCTGTGTAGGTTGATTGGTTACAACCAGCCTGAACTTTTGAGATGCAAGTTTACAGCAATGAATTTCTAGTAGGTTGCTGGTTACATCAATGACACCAGATATGAAGGCTATCATTTTATCACACAGAACAACCATCAGTTGCTGCTACGGGTCTGACTTCAACTAAACTGGGGGACCTCCATGAATGAAGGCTTAATTCTATCTTTCTGGAGCTTTCCAGACACTATCTCACTGGAAGCCAACACGTGCAAACCATGGAATTCAAGAGTCTATTCAAGTAGGTAACATGGCTAGATATTAGACTGGCTTTACTGACTTCATCCGAGTCATTCGAACAGATGAGATGTTGCCTTTCCTTTGCTTCCTTCACTCCCTCAACTTTTTCCACTAAACTCCCTATTTATATTTGGAGATTTGGCTGTACTGTTTTGAAAGGGATTGTTTACTAAAAGATCCCATGGTGATTAAGCTACTGCTTGCATTCTTAGTATTTATTTTTGTTTGGTTTTGTTTGAGTTTTGGTCTCTTCCTGTAGAGCACAAAAACTGAAGTTGTTGGACAAACAATGGTTTATCAGGACTGGGAGTACTGTGTCAGTAATACTTTTTCTGGGAAATCCTGCTCTGGAACAGCTCTTCCAAGAGAAAAAGTGACACCTACTCGTATACCCATGACCAATCTTGTTATCTTGGCACCTGAGGAAGGACGTCCGTAAGTGTTTCTCTCCCTCTTTGGCAGTGAAGGACAACGCCAACACAACGTGCCAGACTTTGGCACCAGCCGCCTAGCGGGGCCCACGGTCAAACAGACAGGAGGTTCAGCTCTGTGATTATAATCTCATGTTCTTCTGTGAGCCATTGAAGCCTTAGGGAAGGAGCAGTAAACTTCTCATATGGTGATGATTGTTACTTTTGGTTTATAATAAAGGCTAACTGGCAATGCCTATTTAAATTCTCTATATAAATAGTTAGTAGTGGATTATGTCCAATTCTCAGTTTATTGCTGTTTCTAAAAAAGTCTTTTCACTTGCCAAAGGGAGTTCAAAAAGGCGGCCATGCTGTCAGCACCACCGAGCTTTGGTGGACGCTAATAGGTCTTTTGTGAGCAGGCATTGTCGGGCTCTGGTCTGTGTCAGCCTTGAAATACACATTGTTCGTGAGTTGTGTTATGCAAATATAATACCCTTATCATGAGAATCTGCAAATGCTTGGCAACTGGCAAGGAGAATAAAGCACAGATCCAGAACTGCTGTAGGGGAGGCATAAAACAAAATGACATGCCGTGAAGTGGGACAAAGAGGAAAGAGAGAGGTGCCTCTTGACGGGCCAGGAAAAATGCCTGCCTAAGCTTTAGGCATGAGCCGGGAAAGTGCTGTTGCACAGTCCAGCTTCACACCTGGTTGGGGGTTGATCATTTCTGCCATGTAATGTTAGCTGGGGTGTGTGGGGGTCCGCTTTAAAAGCACTCGCGCTCCCCACGGACGGCAGTATCAATTCAGCGACTGCGCTTCCCTGCAGCCAAACCTCTGCGGGCAGTTCACAGTGACCAAGCCTTTATTCCATCTGCCCCGGCTCCCAAAAGGTGCCTCACCAATTCCAGCAGTGTTTGCATATGGAATGTATTTCGAGTGCTTCGTGGATTGCCTATGCCACGACTGAACCAGTTAAATGCTCAGAGAGCATGCCCAGCAATGAGGTGGCTGCATGTGCAAAAGCGCCCATGTTCCTTCCGTTCCCCCTCTCAGTCCCCGTTCCCCTCTCCCAAAACCCCTAGAAGTGCTGGCAGGATAGGGCCACCTGCTTTTGCACGTCAGAGGTGGTGTGTTCCCGGTGCTGCATCTCCAGGGACCATTTTCATGGCATGTTGCCATCCGTTCCTCAGTTCTCACCTCCTGCAGGTGGGTGCAGAACAGGATGATGGCCTTGGCCGTTCTCCTAGACCTGAAACACCCCTTCCTCTTTTGCACCTGGAACAAGGCCTGTCAAGTCTCCACACACCTCAGTTTCCTCAGATCTAGCAAGGAAAGATCAGCCTGCCTGAAACCTGACACCAGGAGACAGTGATGCTCGCTGTGCCGCAGAGCACTCTGGGAGGTGCTACTCAAGCAGCTGGGATTAGCATCACTGCTTTACTGGATATCAGGGACAAGATGCTTCTGCACTGGGAATATTTCTTTTATTAAAACTCCGCAAAACTCAAGGAGCAGCTAGGAAAGCCTGTAAGCCCTCTTCGTTCGCAGCAAAGAACCTTCTGTCTGTCTTGCCGCATTAAAAGCAACAAGGCAAAGGCTCAATACCATGAACACCACCCGGGGCTTAAGGGATAATGGCAGGTAGCCATCCTCCCTAGTTGGTTTAGAAGGCTAATAAGCATCACTCAGGTGCACTGCGGGTGGATCTCTCCCTGCT